ACCTCTGCCAAAGTCAATGTACATGAAGCTTTGCTCTCAGGCAGAGCCGAGGCCACAGAGACCAGGAGCCGTTCTGGCTCTGTCAGTTTATGCCTAATGACCCTGACCATCAGGGACTAGCCTCATTTCACCAACCAGGAGGGACCCTTAGCTGTTGGTGGGTAACTGGTGTTAAAAATCAAATCTCACCAAAATTTGAAGGTGCTCTTGTGGCACAGTGCCTAAGGCATTTGACTGCTAACCAAAAGGTTGGTGGTTCAAACCCACCAACCACTCCACTGGAGGAAGACTGGGCATGTTTATTCTGAGTAGTTATTCTGTATCCATATAGGGAGACCATTCTGATTGCAGCAAAAGCAAATGAATGGAAGAAGCTAGGTATATAAGGAGCTTATAAAACTCATTCACTCTCACCGCCGTCAGTCAGATCCGACTCATAGTGACCCCTCCTTGGGTTTCCAGGGCAATAAACCTTTACAAAAGTAGATTACCCAATCTTCCTTCCGAGGAGTGGCTGGTGGATTTGAACCACCAGCCTTCTGGTGAGCAGTCGCATGTCTTAGGCACTATGCCTTTAGATGGAAAAATATAGACAAGCCCCCATTGGCTAATCTTAGCATGATTGACTGAACCCTGCCCTCCTCCTTTTACTTGTGAATCGATATCAATTCACAAGATAGTCTCTGCCCCTTTACCCAACCATATCTTTTGAAATTCAAAAGGTTTAGAGTAGGAAAGAAAGGCTATGCAACTTCAGATGAAAGAAAAGTTATTGGTGGATTAATTTTGGTCAGAGATTTCTTTAAAGTGGACTATTTGCTTTCATGGGATTAAAAAATAAATCAATCAATCAAAGCTAGGTATTTGCTACCAGTTTCTCTCTAGCACTAGCAAACCTGGGTTCTGCAGAGTGAAGGTGACACCACCCAGTACTAATGGGAACAACTTGGGTCTGGAGCAAGACCACATTCCACTAAGGGCCAGCCACCAAGGGAGTAGGACCTTTCCTCCAAAGTGTGGGGAACAGCACAAATTGAAAATTAGAGGTTTTGATTCTCATGGAGAATAAGGGAAGAGGCTCTCCTCCTGGGTTCTATCAGAATTCACTTCAGATAACTTGTCATTATAAATTCTGTCTCTGAAAAGCATGTAAGCCTAAGAGTCTTTCTTAAAGATCAGGCTGTTGCCTCTTAGAAATGTAGCTTCAGGTGAGCATCCCCTACCTTCCTGCTTCTTGAGAGATCCAGATAACTTCAGGTACCCTGCCGTATGTTGTTGTTGTTGTTATGTGCCGTCGAGTCGGACCCAACTCATAGCGACCCCTCCTTGGGTTGCCGAGGCAGTATCACTACGGAAGTAGATTGCTCCATCTTCCTTCCGAGGAGTGGCTGGTGGGTTTGAACCTCCAGCCTTCTGGTTAGCAGTCAAGTGCCTTAGCCACTATGCTACCAGAGCTCCCATCCTGCCGTATAGATACTAGAAAATCAACAGATCTTTTCTTAAGCATGCATGTAATGGGCTGTAGCCACTCAGCTAGGTAATTAGAGATAAGCTTTCTTCCTGTCTTTGCAATCTCTTAGTGGCTTGCCTGTGGTGCATCATTTTCTGGTATAATGTTTATTCAATACGTATGTCTTAGGGAAAACACTAAACTGACGCTCTGCCAGAAATTACAACAAAAATATTATTGAAGGAATGAAATCATTTCAAAATGGGGAGACATTGACCTGGCATCCTTGCAAGAAGTTGCAATGCTCTGAATTGCAGGGAGAACACTTAGGGTTTAAAAAGGTAGAGCAAACAAAGGATTTGTGTTCACAGGCAGGATGAGAGGGGGAGGAAGCATGGCCAAAGTTACAAAGCCTTTGTTAAACTACAGGCTTAAATGTTGTCTGTGAGCTTATTTATTGCATTGTCAGGTTGTTACGTCCTGAGAGTTGGTCAGCATTCTGTCAGGGGCTTATTTTCTGTCATATCTATAGTCTGTCTCCTTATTTTAGTGCAATCTCTACCTTAATTACAAATTCACAAAGGACCTCTGGTGGTGCAGTGCCTAAGACATTTGACTACTAACCTGAAAGCTGGCAGTTCAAACCCACCAGCCACTCCTTGGAAGGCAGATTGGGCAATCTACTTCTGCAGAGATACTGCGGGTCCTGCCCGGTGTGCAGTCAAGCCCAAACAGTTTACACTCCTAGATTGAGAAGAGAGATAATTATTGCAAAGCGACAATGCAAGGAGTAGGGGTAGTTCAGTACCCAGATGTGACTCCCCGAGAAGCCATCAAATTACAGTTTTTGTAGGTTTCAGGAGAGGGGGTTGTGCATATTCACAAAAGGTTGAGGAATTTGGGCTTGAAGTGGATGATGGTTGCCCCCCTGAGGTGGAGGAGTCACACCAGTTTCCTGTTATCAACTGATAGGGGTTTGGGGGATGGGAGAGGGTCCTGGTTAATTTTTGTTCCTTTCTGCCCTATTGCATGTCAGAGGGCCAGAATTAATTCACAAGTTGTTCTAAGACACTTCCTTTCTGCCCTATTGTGCATGTACCCCAGGGCCAGAGTTAATTTACAAGTTGTTTCTAAGATACTTTTAGTAGTCTATAACACCAGCCACTCCTCGGAAGGAAGGTTGGGCAATCCTACTTCCGTAGTGATACTGCCTTGGAAACCCAAGGTGGGGTCGCTATGAGTCGGGGGGGGGGGGCAAATAACAACAACAACAACAACCTGAATGATATCACCTGAAAGAATGTTTTCTATTCAATTCTTTAAGGAACTGAATACTCATCTACTGGGGGTAATTTAGTTTACTTATCTATTCCCATCTGAGTGCCAGGGTGGGGGAAATAGTTTTTACTTTACTGGGTTTCAATACCACCTGGGAAACCCAAGGAGGGGTCACTATGGAATTGACTCGGGGGCAGAAACCCTGTAAAAAAATCCCAGTGAATGAACATTTTAACTTGGGAGCAAGGATGTGAACTAAAACTTGACAGACACCTCTCAGAGTTATAAAGTTAAAGGAGCCCCGGTAGAGCTGTGGCTAAAGCATTGGGCTGCTAACCAAAAGGTCAGTGGTTGGAACCCACCAGCCGCTCTGAGGGAAAACAATGAGGCAGTTTGCTACTGTAAGTAGTTACAGCCTTAGAACCATATAGGGCATCTCTACTCTGCCCTAGGAGCTCTGGTAGCATAGTGCCTAAGGCACTTGACTGCTAACCAGAAGGCTGGTGGTTCAAACCTACTCCTCGGAAGGAAGGTTGGGCAATCCTACTTCCATAGTGATACTGCCTCGGAAACCCAAGGAGTGGTCGTTATGAGTCGGGGCCGACTCGACGGCACATAACAACAACAACACTCTGCCCGAAAGGGCCCCTATGGGTCAGAATCAACTGATGGCAGTGGGTTTGGATTTGGTTTTAGTTACAAAGCTACTTACAGGCTCTAACTTCATTTAGCATTATCTGTTCAGATAATTCTCCTGCTGACCAACGAGCCTTCACAGGGCCAGCTGCACAAATGTTCCTAACAGATACCAGGTAACTCTTTAGCCAGGTTCCAAACCCTGACTTTTGCCTTCGTTGTTTTTCAAACAGCACAACTTTGACAAAACGTTGATTTCTTTAGAAAAGTGAAAATGAAAACCTTAGTGACAAGAATAGACCACAGATGGGATGGCCTTAACAGTTTATTGTTACAATCTGGAGGCTTTAAATCCAAGTTCAAAGTGCCAAGCTCTAGGGGCTGGGTGAAAGCTCCTCAACCTTGGGCTCCAGCTGTGCCTCCTGCTCCTGGCCCATTGGAGCTAGAGGCATTTCTTCAAACAGCTGCTGGCTGCTGAGGCTGAGAAACCCCAAGGTTGACAAGTAAAAAGGCACAGTCCGATGTTACCAGACCACACGGCAGGCCCTCAAGCCCACTGTAAGTCCCAAGGTCGGCAGAGCATAGCAGGCTGCTGAGCAATGACACGGCTACATACAGGATCCAAGCATGCCAAAGCTCTTGCTTATATACAGGTAGCAGACCACATACCCAAAGGCAGCTAGCTACTCAGCTGCTCACGGTAGATTTCACCATGGAGTTGATTACCAGTCTCATCATGGGGAATAGTCCATCCAGCTGCCCAGCCACTCAACCAGGCTTAGCCAAGTTGACACAAAAACTTAACTACCACACTTAGTTTGATTCAAGATGGAGTTTTACTTTACCTCTGAAGTCACCCTAGTCAGTCATGTCAGTATCTCAGGGTTTTTTTTTTTTTCAAATGAGGTTCACTATACAAAGCTTAGAGATGGAGACTTAAGCTTTCTGGGCATCCCTGGGGCAAACTTCCTTACTCCCAGTGGCCAGGACCTGGGGGAAGGCAGGCAGCCTTATTGGGGGGAACATGGGGGAAGTTCCTTGCTCAGTGGCAGCTACCCCAGAGCAGGCCCCAGCCTTCCAGAGGCCTCCCTACTCCATCCACAAAGGCACCCATCTCAGAGCTGGACACTTGGCCGGAAGAAATTCTCCACCTTCAGCTCCAGGCCCACTATTGTCCAAATCAGGGAGGAAGCAGAGCTAAGACCACCACCCTACCACCACTCGACCTCATGCCTTAGCACCTGGACACCCTAGCTTTCCACCTGCCACCCCTAGGAACAGGGGGGGGCTAGAAATTCTCTCCCCTCGCCACCCTTCCAACCTAGAGTTGGATGAGTTGTCCCCAGAGAGACAAGACCCTTTGCTAGCCTAGAAGCCAGACGCACCCCACTTTTGCCTCAAGCTTTTATCTTTATAGTCTCCCTAGAGACATCAGGTCCCAGTTTACAATTGGCCTTGGGAAAGGAAGGCCTATGCCAGGAAGGTGTGCTGCCTAGAGCCAGGAAGGCTAGTATAGACAGGTAGCCTGACAAGGTACAGAGGGGCTTGTTGGATTGTGTATTTCAGCCCATGGCAGACATTCCCAAACCCCCAGCCCGATTAGCATTCACTACACCACATTCTAGAGGTTGCTCTTTTATTTGGAATCAGACACAGGGCACATCTCAGGGTGGGAAACAGCTCGTCGCCTCCTGGCCAGACCCAGGATGACAGCGGCCAGAGTCAAGGTCACCACCACAACCAGGCCCACACCTAGTGCCATGGAGCTCTGAGCAGCAGACGCCCACTCCTCCATACCACGGTCACCAGCCTTTCCCAGGAAGATCAGTGGCCCCACGGTGACATCTGCTTCTTCTGCCACTGTGAGAGGAAGATGACATCTGAGGGTTACCTTAGCCAACAACCCCTCCACCTGCTTCCTGCTCCAGGAATCAGCTTAGAAGTTATACATGCTCTCCATAACAGAGAGGCTGAGCCGGGAGGTTGATGTCTTAGGCACATTGGTTTTTCCTTCACCTCCCAGTTATGTTTCAGTAGAACCCTAGGATTAGGCCAGAGTTGCCCTGTCTGAAGCTGGTATGGGGGCTTGGAGCCCCTCCCACTTAGCCCTAAGTTTTCTGGGAGGATGCCTGAAGCCCCAAGCCCCCAGAGTGAGCAGCCCAAATAAGACCAAGTGACAAGCAGCAGGTGGCCCTCAATGGAGTGAGCAAGAGCCCTGTGCCCATCCTAAGACGTACCATGCCTGCGTTTGCGGGAAGTGGACTTCTGCCGCTGGCTCGTTGACAGCTTGCCTGTGGGGGGCAGCCTCCTGGAACCACCTAGCACGCCACAGTCACCGTTGTTACAGCAGCCACAGATGTCATCAGTGCCCTCCACTGGGGACCAGCTGCGAAAGAAAGGAAGGGCTTGTCAGTTTTGTTGCAGGAAAGTCCACTAGTGACTAGAGAAACGGACACAAGAGGCGATTGGTTGGTTTCTATACCAGTCACATAGCATCTGATCTTACCTGTTGGAAGACTTGCTGAAGGAACAGGCTTTGTTTAGTTGGTCTGGGACTTGGTTGGCCGGAGCAACCTTCAGATGACAGGTGATAAAGATCTAGAAGTAACAGCTGTTACTAGGGCTAGGCCAGTGACTCGAGCCAAGCCAGTTCTTACATAACCCTGAACCCTATGAGGATGCATGCACCCCATTTTAGAGATTCAGCACTAGAGGCTCAAAGGTTAACTTGCCCAAGATCATAGACCAAGTAGCAAATCTGATGCTAGGTTGGAACCCATGAGCTTTAGCTCTTCAGTCTTCCCTGAACTTGTCTACTTAGCACGCCTGACTCCGGGCCCCATTAAATGAGAACCTCAGGGATGGTGCTGGGGAAAGAGAACATTGTTAAAATTTTATCAGGGCTCCTGACTGCCACCAAACTAGTTGAGAAATCCCTTTTCAGGAGATGTGATCTTTTTTTTCAGCTGAGGAACAGGGCAAGTCACTTCTGTGACTCAAAGTCCCTAGGCACCATAGGGGTCTCTTCAAGTGGCTTCTGTGGAATTCTCATTTCAGACTTGGAGTCAGCTCTCTGGCTGTTGCCTTAGGCAAGCTTCCTTGATCTTCTTCATCAGGTATGCACCTCCTTTACGTTGAGCAGCTGTCAAGTGACCCTACACACAACAGAACACTGCCTGATCCTGTACCATCCCATGAGCGGTTGCAGATCAGACTGTTGAGATCTACAGGGTTTTCTTTGGCTCATTTTCAGACAGGTCACCAGGCTTTTCTTCTTAGTCTTACTCTGGAAGTTCCATTGAAACCTGTTCAGCATCACACCAAGACACAAGCCACCAAGACACAAGCCTCCAACACCAGAGGGAGGCTGGCTATGCATGGCCTCCAGTGACAGGCAATCACATCTAGTGCTGCTGCGCGGACAGGAAGAATTCTGCCACCGAACCCTCAACGCCCCTATCTTCCCTGTAGGAATCTCCTGTGTCGATCTGTCCATGACCTGTGAACCAGAAGATGACCCTAGGCCGTACTCTGGCCTGAGCCACCACCTCTGGGAAATGTTAACTTGACCACTCTTGGTTAGTATTAAGGGAAACACACAGACACACCCACCCACCCTCCAGAAAGCACTTGCATAACCTGCTGGGAGCCAACAGCTCCAAACCCAGTTGAGCTGTCAATTATCCTGCAAGATCATGGTCATCTCCTTGTCCCAGAGGAGCTGGTACCCAATTCTACCACACCAGGTGGGCCCTGGTTCAATTGTTTGAAGCATCCCCAGGTCAGCGTCCCCCCTTCATATATACCTCGCTGCCCAACTCTCCAAAGGAACGGAGCCGCCTCATAGCCAAAGCCTCCTGCAGAGCCACAAGACTTGGCTGCTACCTAGTGGCTGCTTGTATCAGCAGGAAAATCATTTTTAAAAAATTGATGCCGCTTAGGTTATTTGGTTCTTTTAACAGGCCAGGGTGTACCTCTGGCCTCCGTAAGTCTTCCTCTGCACTTCTATAGCTGCCCCACTGAGGACAGGTTTCCTGGTTCTTTAGCATTCCTATTGCAGGAAGGGAAACTGCTTTTGTCTTTAGCTTCCTCCCAGTATGGTCTCCTGGTGTTACCTGGAGCCTACCAGGGAAGCTCCCCCTCTAGCTATTGTGTATTAAGGTTGGTTCCTTCTATCTTGTGTGGTGGGTCACAGTCTACCAAACCATCCTTTCCACTGATGAGTCTTCCTGGAGCTCAGGCTACCTCCTGAGATCCACACTATCCTCTAGTCTGTTACCCATGTTCCCAGAGATGCAAATGCTAGCTAGGTTTTAACCCACAATGGCCACCACCAGTATTAGACTTTCCTCCATTCTCCACCCCACTGGACCACCTCTGAAGTCAACCTTGACTCCCTACCCCAAACAGGGGCCTTTATTCTTGTATCATGTCACAGACTAGATCTAGGGACCAGGGCCCTTTCTCTCTATCTGTTCTCCTTTATCCTGTATCTCCAACTCAGGATCTGCTATCAAAGTTCCAGGCCATCTCACTGGTCTCTTTGACCCCTGCCCCTCTGTCTAGCCACCCCTCTATGAATTATGTCTATTCTCACACCAAGTCTACTACGGGACGTGACGCAGCATCAGCATGGTCTACTCTCCACATCGCTGACCCCCTCATGCTACCCAATAACATGAGCCTCTGGTCCAGTGGTTCGCAAGCCCAGCTGCTTGTTGGGTCACCAACAAGCTTCAGTGGCTTTGGGTGCATTTCCAAGTCAAACAGACTGATGGATAATGCAGTCCAGCGTTACTGGTGTAATCTAGATGGAAGGTATGTACTTGCTGCAAAATTCTTTCCATTTATGTTTGCAGATTCACATTAAAAAAAAAAGGGGGATGCCAGACCCCACATCTCAATTAAGACAGGATTATATGCAAACACAGTTTTTGACTTCCCAGGTGATTAGTGTAGAGCCAGAGGTGGGAAGCCACTTTAATCACTCCTTCCTGACCAGCTACTCTGAACTTAATACCCATGTAACGTAACGAGCTACATTTGTTTTTACTTGTAAGATTCTACCAGCCTTTTCAGGTTAGAGGTCAGTCCTTCCCCAATCATCAGAAGCAATCCTCTTCTAGCTTCCTTCCTTCCTTCCTGCCTCCCCTCCATCATCCTCCTTGGTCATGCACTTGGGCTTTCTAGCTCAGTGGTTCTCAGGGTGTGGCCCTCAGACCAGCATCAGTATCACCCAAGAGCTTGTTATGGATGTAAGTGCTCAGCCCACTCCAGACAGACTGAATCAGAAATCCTAGGGATGGGGTCAGCAGTGTACTCCACAAGTCCTCCAGGAGATGCTAATGCACTCAAGTGTGAGAACATAGGTCTAGCCCCACCAAGTTCCAGAAGCTAGCCTGTTAAAAAAATAAAGCCTTCATATTTTTTTTGTCCTCCAAGACAACCTCCAGGAAGGCTGACACCTACTTTTTTGTCAAGTCCTTCACACAAAGCCTTCCTCTTCAGGGTTCTGGCCCCACTGACCTCAGTAAGGATGAGGTTCATGGTTGTAGGCTCTCATCTTATTTGAGCTGTCATGTCAACTAATCCTCCTGGACTCCCCCTTTGTCTAGCTTACTCTACCCCTATGAGCCCCTGACTCCTTCTCTCCCCCCATCCTTCATGAGGTGTTTTAATCCTATCTCTGAGCATTGCCCGTGCTTCAAAGACTTTGCATAAGGCCATGGCTTTATCTACTTGGAAAGTTAGGACAGAGAGCTAGTGAATGACAGCAGGAAAAGCTATTACCGTGTTTCTGGAGTCGTTAGCAAAGTGGAACACATCCAGTGTGAACTGGAGAGTATCTGGCCCGGGTCTGGGGGTCCTGAATACAGAGGAGGAGTCGGAGAGACCATCCATGAGACAACTGCAGAGGACAAGAAGGGTGTTAGAGGCTACAGGAAGGAGCCGTGGGGCCATCCCTGCTAAGGTTTCCCTGGAAAGGCAGCCCAACCCTCACCCGTGAAAGTCCACGATGGTGTGATGAGGGGAAGTGGTCCTGGCTGGTGTCGGGGTGGCCACACAGTGGTCCACAAACAGTCGCAGTGGCATATGGCTGCCTGTGTGAACCTCCGCCTGAAGGTGGGCTGTGTCTCCCAGCTGGAAGGTGGGGGTCCTCTTCTCAGCACTCCAGTCCTCTGGAAGGCAGTCAGGGTCAAAGATGCCAGGAGTTTTCCCTGCCAGACTCTCCCCAGCCCCAGCCCTCCTTACTTACCCTCCATCAGGCGCAGAGAGAAAGCCAGCTTCTCCTGTGAGTGCACCGTGGTCCTGAAGGGCACCCAGGTGGGCAGGACTGCCTGGCTGCTCACGTTGCCCTGCCTGGGAAAGGGCAACAGCTGCTGCTCACAGCTGCCCCAGGGCTCAGCCCAGCTGGGCCCACATGGGGCCGTCTCATTTCCACCCCACTGCAGAGTCCTCAGCTGTGACCAAGCCAGACAGTCTAAGTCATGCCCTTGACCTTCCAAAACTCCACTTCATCTGCAATAGATTCAATCCTGGGTCCACCCAGCCCTCCTGTAAAGGCATCTGGGCTGCCACATGGAGACTGCTACATCTAAGGGTAGGAGTTTGGTTTCTCCACCCAAATCTACTCCTTGTTGACTATCCCTGGAGGCTTGGGGGGGTGAGGTGGGGGGGAGTCAGGGTCTGAGGCAGCAGTCCCTGATCTGCACCCCTCAGGATTCTGTGGCTTCTACTAAAAAAAAAAAAAAAAAAAAAAAAAACACCAACCAAACTTGCTGCCAACTGAGTCGATTCCAACTCATAGTGACCCCCCTTTGGGTTTCCAAGGTGGTAAATCTCTATGGAAGTAGATTGCCCAGTCTGCCTTCCATGGAGTGTCTGGTGGGTTTGAGCCAACAACCTTCTGGTTAGCAGTCAAATGCCTTAGGCACTGCACCACCAAACCCCTCTGTGGCTTCTACTGAGAGGTAGTCAAACCTCTGATGCATTTCAGAGGATCCAGTTGGACCCAATCAGCGCCCCCTCCCACCCGGGGCTGAGGGCCTCAGACACATGGTGTCTCCCAGCTGGGCTGCCAGGTGTTGCACGTCAGCTGGCAGTCAGGTCTGAGGGGCCTATGAGCCAGGGCTGTGTTAGGTCCCGTCCTTCACTGACCTGGGATAGTGGCACTCGATGGGGACCTCAGCATGGTTAGTCCTCAGGATGGACAGGTTCCCTACAGGGCGGGGGCTGTGGAGCAGGTAGGTGCTGTACACCAGGGCATCCTCCGTCACCTGAAGGCCAAAGAGTTAATGAGCCCAGGTCACGTGCCAAGAGTGCACCTGACCCAGGCTCTGGAATCAGATCAGCAACACTGACCTGGATGAGAGCCTGGTTAAGGTACCATCTTGCCTCTCAGGTTCTTCACCTCTGAATGGTGATCCCACCAGAATGTCTGTCGACTAAGTGCTAGATGACTAGCCATATTGGGACATGGCCCCCCCCCACACACACCCCTCACCAACACAGGTTCCTAAATTCAGGGGAGGCCGAGGGCCAAGAATGAGAAGCTGGTAGTGAAGTTGCACAAGGCAGAAAGCACAGGCAATCTATACCCTGAATAGTGCTGCACCTGGGGCCCAGGGGGCTGCCTGGCTCTGCCCTGAGTAACTCAATTTTCAGGGGAGAGGGTCTTGGTTCTCTACTAGCAAATGCCCCAGACAGAACCAGCTGCTTCGTTTATTTTTTGTGAAAACTCACTGCCATAGAGTTGAGGCTAAGTCCCAGCAACCCTTTCGGACAGAGCAGAACTGGCCCATAGGGTTTCTGAGGCTGTCTTTATAGAAGCAAACTGTCATCTTTCTTCTGCAGAGCAGCTCGTGAGTTCGAACCACTGACCTTTTGGTTAGCAACCAATTATTGTAACCACTGCACCACCAGAACTCCTCCTGGATTCATAAATCCTCAGGGGAAATCAGAGTAGGGGTGCCCCTTCTGGCCCAGAGTACAGTGCTGCCTCTGGACCCCACCTCATCACCCCAGTTCAGGCAGCTAGAAGCCCCCTGGCCCTTGCCCCGGCTTCAGGCCTCAGCAGCTCCACCCCTCCCCCCACAAGTGAAATCTGCCCTAGTCCCATCTGTCTGCATTTCACAGCCCATCGCTATCACCCCTGCCTCCCATGACTCCCACCCAGGCCAGTCTTGAGGAGGGCCCCCCGAGCCTCACCTGCACACTGCTGCCACACTCGTGCAGGCCAACCTCAAACCTGACCACGTCGGCACCGTCCTCGGAGGCCAGGGGCTTACAGCGCTCAGGGCCCAGGGTGAGGTCTGAAGGCCTGACAAGCTTCCCGGTGCCAAAGAGGTTCTTGCTGACAGTGACCACCAGCTGGGCCTCCAGGCACTCCACCCGCACAGGTGGCGAGGATGACGCGGGGCCACGGGCTGCTCTCTGAAGCAGCCAGAGAGGGTGGGGGTAGCACAGCTCTGTGCTACCCCAGAGCAGAAAGCAGAGGAGGAACCCGTAGCCCAGCCCCATAGTGCCTGCAGAGCACGTCAGCTGGGTCCAGACCACTACCGCCCAGTGTCTTATACCCCCAGGATGACAGCGCCCACCTGCCTCCCCTCCCTAGCCCGTGGTCCCTGGTCCAGCAGAATGTTTCTCACCTGAGAGCTTGTCAGACCTGCGGCATCTCAGCCCACACCCAGCTTCTGATTGGAATCTGCAGATTCGCCATCTCCAAGTGATTTGTGTTACCACCTAATTGTTGAAGTGCCTGGTCAACCGTGGCTTCTGACCCCTTCTCTATGCCACCCCATGTGTCCAGCTTTTTGCTGGCCCTAGTCTCAGGAGGCTCACAGCCCAATAGGGAGCCAAGAACTGTTACATGTCCATAGGAGAGACCAGGAAAAAGGCCTAGATTAAAGGGTAGGGAGAATTTGATTAGAGAGGGCAGGGGGCACATTCCAAGGGGGGTGAATGGGAAGAGCCATCAATTAAGAGATAAGAGGAATTGCGTGGGTAGAGTGAAGTGGAAGGGGAGATGGATTCAGACAGCTGTGTGATCAGAGGCGTGGAAAGGGGAAGTCATTGGTCAGGTTTCAGGGGGTGAGACCCAGGAGCTCAGAGGTTCTGAAGTATCAGGTGTGGGGGGGAGGCTCAGGTGGCAGTGTAGGAGGCTGGGGAGGTGGGCGGGAGGATCAGGAAGGTTCTGGGCTGAGATGTTCCACTTTGCCTTTTGGGCTACGGAGGCCATGGAAAGAGGGTTGAAGCAGATGAATGATCTGGTCAGCTCTGGCTGGGAAGAGGGGGGACTGGTGACAAGAGTCAGGAGGCTGCTGCCCTAGTCCTGACAGGAAGTGGTGGAGGCCCGACAGACTCGGGGTTTGCCAATGGCCTGCTGTGCGCTGGGCCTGGGTGAAGCTCCTTGAGCTCCGCTCTTCTGACTTGATCCACATGGGTAAGGTGGGGGACAGCCAGCAGAGAGAGCCAGGTGAAAGCACAGACTCTAAGCCCACCCCAGTGGCCCATCCCATGGAAACCCTTCCTGCCTGACAGGCCCAGAAGGAGGGAGCCAGCTGAAACTGTGGCATTGGGACAGCTAGCTGGGGACACTGTACCCTAGGAGTGGGGCCTGCTTAGGGAAGGGGCACCTATTTGATCGTTACCTTCAGCTGTGTCTGCTGGTTGTACTGGGGTTAGGGTGGGATGGGCTGGGGAACAGAGGGCATGGTCTCCCTGAAGTCTCATATCTGTCACCTCTTCCTCCCTGCCATGAACTAATCTCCCTTAGAGGGCTTCAGGGGGAGAAAAATGATGTGGAGAAATCAGTGAGGGTGGGTATGAGTGATTTCAAGGGGTGAACATTTATGATGGGGTGAGACTGGATAAGATGGGAGAGAGGCCGTAGCACAGGTGCTGGAGGTGAACATGTGAAGGAGGGGCAGGTGTTCCCCATTTTAGGAAAGAGGATAGGCCTCCTAGACACCTCCTACGACCTAAAGGCACCCCAAACCCAACCCAGACTCTAGGGTATTTTGCATTTTTTGGGAAGTGCTGCCCCCTGGTGGCCAAAATGCATTAACCGCGTGGCCACCACCAAAAACCAAACTCACTGGCATCCTAGTCGGATCCACTCACAGTGACCCCCCCTTATCATTACTGAAGTATATTACCCAACCTTCCTTCCGAGGAGTGGCTGGTGGGTTTGAACCGCCACCCTTCTGGTTAGCAGTCAAATGCCGTAGGCACTGCACCACCAGTCCAGAACATTTTCCTTAGAATTCCTTAGAGCCCAAATACTGATTCTAAATGCTATTTTTCCCCTCTAAAAACAGGATCTAGGGTTCCTTAGAGAAATGGCTGGTTCCGGGGCCAGGAAAGTACAAAGTGAACTTGGGACATCTTGTTATGCCAAAAAAAAAAAAAAAAAGTGATGGGGACATGTGAAAATAATTCAGGAACCGCCTTGAATGGGGAGGGTTCCTATTGGCGAAAATGGGGACATTTGTGCATCAAAATGAATGATGACAGTAACGGATGACACATTCAATAAGAATCCATGCGCATCCAATTAGTAGAATGCTGGCTACTAATCATAAAAGGAATGATAGATTTAGGAGAAAAAAAATAAACCATCACACCCATAATAGATTTAGGGGAGATTTATTACTGGGTGTTAAAAATAACTTGATGAAAATTTGAATAGGAACAGGACATATACACAGTCTCAAAGTGTTTCCTCATAGATTGTTAACTACAGAGGAATTAACGGTTCCTTTATAATGGATAAATCTAGCAGACGGCACTTTAGCCAAGTGGCCAAAGTGAACATAACCATGAATGGAATAAACTGACACCCTCAACCTTCTGAGGGAAGCAGTGGGAAGGAGCCCACATCACCTCCGTAGGATTCCTGCCAAAAATTCACAACCTGAATCTGATCATGAGGAAACATCAGTGAAACCCATTCAGGGCCATTCCACAAAACATCTGACCCCCTTGAAAAGCTTCAGTGTAATGGAAGAAAGAGAGGTGGGAAAATTCCAGATTAAAGGGGACTGAAGTGGCATGGGAGTCCCTGGGTGGTGCAGCAGCCAGAGCGCTCCGCTGCCGACTGAAAGGCTGACTGTCCGAGTCACAGGCACCTTGGAAGGAAGGTCCCTGCTTCCAAAACATCAGCCCCTGGAAACCACGTGGGGCCCAGCTCTGCTCTGACATGAATTGGAATCAACTTGATAGCAAGTGGTTTGTTTTTTGTGTTATTTTTCCTTTTGGAAGTGATACAACAACTAAATGCAAGGCTGGGTGGGATCATGCCATGGGGAGAGGGACTGGCATCAGGGACACTACAGGGACAACCAGTGAGCTTTAAATGTGGGCTGTACATGAGATGATAATATCATAGCTTTAATTTCCTGGATTTGGAAATCATACCATGATCAGGTAAGAAAACTCCTTTGTCCTTAAGAAATACATGCTGAAGGGGCAAAGGGACATGAGGCCAAAAGTTTAGAAAAATATGTGGAGATCCACGCTCACACACACACACACACACACACACGTAACCAAAGCCACTGCCTTCAAGTCAATTCCGACTCATAGCAGCCCCCATTGGGTTTCCAAGGCAATAAATCTTTATGGAAGTAGGTTGTTCCATCTTCCTTCTGCAGAGCAGCTGGTGGATTTGAACCACCAGCCTTTTGGTTAGCAGTCAAATGCCTTAGGCACTGCACCACCAGAGCTCCATATATATATATATATGTATGTATATATATATATATATATGTATGTATGTATATATATACACACACATGTATATATGTCTGTAGAGAAATGCATATATACGTCATGCTGTTTCTAGTTGCCATAGAGTCAGCTCTGACTCATGGTGACATCATGTATAATGGAGTGAAATGGTGCTGGGGCTATGCCATCTTCAGAATCATTACTTTGAGTCCACTGTGGTGGTTATTGCATCAATCCATGTCATTGAAGGGTTCCCTCATTTTTGCTGACCCTCCACTTTACCAGTTATGGTGTCCTGTTCCATGATTGGTCTTTCCTGGTGACATGTCCAAACTAAGCAGCATGCTTGCTTCTAAGGAACATTCTGGTTGTATTTCTTCTAAGACTGATTTGTTCATTCTTCTGGTAGTCTGTGGATTCAATATTCTTTGTGAGCACCACAACACCACAATTCTAATGCATCAATTCTTTTTCTGTCTTCATCTATGCTCTGGTGGCGGTGCCTAAGGCATTTGACTGCTAACCAGGAGGCTAGTGGTTCAAACCTACCAGCCACCCCTTAGAAGAAAGATTGGGCAATCTACTTCTGTAGTGATACTGCCTCGGAAACCCAATTAGGGGTTGCTTTGAGTCGGATCCAACTCAAAGGTAGTGAGTTTAGGTTTGGATGGTGTGTATGTATATATGGGAGGAGCTCTGGTGATGCAATGCCTAAGGCATTTGCCTGCTAACCAGAAGATTGTTAGTTCAAACCCACCAGCTGCTCCACAGAAGGAAGATGGGGCAATCTACCTCCGTAAAGATTTGCTGCCTAGAAAACCCAATGGGGGTCACTATGAGTCAGAATCAACTTGATATAAGTGGGTTTATGTATGTATGTATTTATTTATTTTTTGGCATGTATATATGGAGGAGCCCTGGTGATGCAGTTTTTAAGCACTTGACTGCTAACTGAAAGGTAGGTAGTTTGAACCCACCAGCCACTCTGCAGGAGAAAGATGGGGCAGTCTGTTTCTATGGAAGTAGATTGCCCAGTCTTCCTTCCAAGGAGTGTCTGGTGGGTTTGAACCACTAGCCTTCTGGTTAGCAGTCAAGTGCTTTAGGTACTACGCTACCAGAGCTCCTTTTGGAAGTGATACAACAACTAAATGCAAGGCTGAGTGGGATCATGCCATGGGGAGAGGGACTGGCATCAAGGACACCACGGGGACAACCAGTGAGCTTTAAATGTGGGCTGTACATGAGATGATAAACATCATGGCTTTCATTTCCTGGATTTGGAAATCACACCATGATCAGGTAAGAAAACTCCTTTGTCTTCAAGAAATATGTGCTGAAGGGGCAAAGGGACATGATGCCAAAGGTTTAGAAAAATATGTGGAGATCCAGGCATACACACACACACACACACACATACATATAAATAAATAACCAAAGCCACTGCTTCCAAGTCAATTCCAACTCACAGCAGCCCCCACTGGGTTTCCAAGACGATAAATCTTTATGGATTTTGACACCCTGTGAAAAGCAGAAATCTTGCAAGAACCAGAAAAACGAGGCAGTCCCATCAAGTTCCAGATCTCACAGGTTTCACACACACACACAGAGAGAGGGAGAGAGAGAAAAGGAAACAATTTGTAGCAAAACGTTCATATTTGCTGAGTGCTGAACCTGGGTAAAAGGTACATGGGAATTCTGGGTATTATTTGTGCAACTGTCAATTTGAAATGATTCCAAAATGAAAAGTTTAAAAACAGGATGCATTTTCAGAAAAAAAAATTTAACCAAGT